GTTATGAGAAGTCGTAAACAACACTTCCTTATCTACTTTCTCTACACCAGTCATGATTTTATAGACCTCAATCATATCTCCCCTTAGCTGCCTCTTTTCCAAGCTGAAAAGTCCCAGTCTTATTAATTTCTCTTCATACAAAAGCCTTTCCATGCCCCTAATAATTTTTGTTGCTCTTTTCCGAACCTTTTCCAATTCCAATATATCTTTTTTGAGATGGGGCGACCACATCTGCACACATTCAAGATGTGGGCTTACCATGGATTTACATAGAGGCAACATGATATTTTCTAAAACAACAAGGAGTCCGGCGGCACCATAAAGACTAACAGATTTATTTGCGCATAAGCTTTCGTGGGTAAAAAACCTCACTTCTTCAGATGCATGGTGCGAAAGTTACAGATGCAGGCATTATATGACACATGAAGAGAAGGGAGTACCTCTTCATGTGTCATTATATAATGCCTGCATCTGTAACTTTCACACCATGCATCTGAAGAAATGGGTTTTTTACCCACGAAAGCTTATGCCCAAATAAATCTGTTAGTTTTTAAGGTGCCGCTGGACTCCTTGTTGTTTTTGTGGATACAGACTAACACGGCTACTCCCTGATACATGATATTTTCTGTCCTATTATCTATCCCTTTCTTAATTATTCCCAGCATTCTGTTCACTTTTTTGACTGCCGCTGCACATTGAGTGGATGTTTTCAGAGAACTATCCACAATGACTCCAAGATCTCTTTCTTGAGTGGTAACAGCTAATTTAGACCCCATCATTTTATATGTATAGTTGGGATTATGCTTTCCAATGTGCATTACTTTGCATTTATCAACATTCAATTTCATCTGCCATTTTGTTGCCCAGTCACCCAGTTTTGAGAGATCCTTTTGTTGCTCTTCGCAGTCTTCCTGGGTCTTAACTATCTTTAGTAATTTTGTATCGTCTGCAAATTTTGCCACCTTACTGTTTACCCCTTTTTCCAGATCATTTATGAATTTGTTGAATAGGACTGGTCCCAGTACAGACTCCTAGAGGACACCAGTATTTACCTCTCGCCTTTCTGAAAACTGACCATTTATACCTACCCTTTGTTTCCTATCTTTTAACCAGTTACCAATCGATGAGAACACCTTCCCTCTCATCCCATGGCAGCTTACTTTGCATAAGAGCCTTTGGTGAGGGACCTTGTCAAAGACTTTCTGAAAATCTAAGTACACTATATCCACTGGATCCCCTTGGTCCACATACTTGTTGACCCCCTCAAAGAATTCTAGGAGATTGGTGAGGCATATTTCCCTTTACTAAAGCCATGTTGACTCTTCCTCAACAAATTATGCTCATCTGTGTGTCTGACAATATTGTTCTTTATTATAGTTTCAACCAATTTGCCCGGTACTGAAGTCAGGCTTACAGGCCTGTAATTGCCAGGATCACCTCTGGAGCCCTTTTTAAAAATTGGCATCACATTAGCTAACCTCCAGTCATCTGATACAGAAGCTGATTTAAATGATAGGTTGAAGACTACAGTTAGTAGTTCTGCAATTTCATATTTGAGTTCCTTCAGAACTCAATAATAATAATAAATAATAATAGTTTTGGATTCCTATAGTTTCAATATTTATGCCTCCCTCTGCCTGGCTAATGCACATGCCTTTGTTCAGGCCTCTGTGTCTTATGTCAATATTAATTTAAATGTGATTTCTGGTTATATTTCGCAGCATACAAACAGAAGTTAGATAACAGATACTTTTGGTGGAAGGTTGCAACGTAACATGACTTTATTGCTTTGCCTTCGGAACAATAACCAAAAAAGAGACAAAACAGGCTGCTCCCCAACACACAGTAGCCCAGCTCACCCCACCTTACTATAGTCCATCTGCACACTGAGTGCTGTGAGGCCCAGATTGCACATGTCCCTACAGAGCCTTTTAGCCTGCAAGCAGGACCAGGAAACCCCCCGGCCCACTCAAAGCGATTGTGTTGCAATTGCAACACAGTCCTCATTACACCACAATTATTACTTTTTATCTTTCCTGCAACCGCAATAAAGGGAGACTGGAAATATAAATAACCTGAGAACACAATCTACACAAAAGACACGATGCTACGGATCAAGGTAATTAGTAGCTACAATGGGGCTAAATTCTCCCATTAGACATATAGTCATGCGATGGCCACTGATTTCCGTGAAAGTGGTTTCTGTGCGTCCATGGGACAAGCATATTTATCAGGGTAAAGGCTAATGCAATGGAGTAAGGGATAAGGCCACTAGCTCAGTGGTTCTCAACCTGGGGTACGCGTATCCCTGGGGGCGTGCAGAGGTCTTCCAGGCGGTACGTCAACTCATCTAGCTATTTGCCTAGTTTTACAACAGGCTACATAAAAAGCACCAGTGAAGCTGGTACAAATAAAATTGCATACCGACAATGACTTGTTTATACTGCTCTGTAGACTATACACTGAAATGTAAGTACAAGATTTACATTTCAATCGATTTATTCTATAATGCTATGGTAAAAATGAGAAAGTCAGCAATTTTTCAGTACTAGTGCGCTGTGACGCTTTTGCATTTTTAGGTCTGATTTTGGAAGCAAGTCGTTTTTAAGTGAGGTGACACTTGGGGGTACGCAAGACAAAACAGACTCCTGAAAGGGGGACAGTCGTCTGGAACGGTTGAGAGCCACGGCACTAGCTGGTAGGTTACTGATCACTTAGAGCACGGGAACAGACAGTGTGGAATGAAGTTGCATTTCCTCTGGTTCCCCTCCCCCTGCACATTGACCCCTGAAGACCCGAATTTAAGCCCCTAAATCTCTATAGCCCCACTGGCTTCATTAGAGCTAAGCCCGTATAACCTCGCCAAGGATCTGAGCCAACATTTTCTCACAGTAGCCCAGTGGGAACGTATTCAAGCAGAGCTCCTAGCCCAACCGCATGGCTTTCCTAAAGCACCCCATAGGTATGCTGACCATTCATCTGGTTTTGAGCTGCACCCTCCTCTTTTTCTATGGTTTTGTCCTGTCTGGTACTGAGACCAAGCCGGACGTGGTTTTGTCCAGTATCCTGGAGGGCCTGGGGGAGGCCATTCCGAAGAGTGCCCCACTTCGCCCCCACCAACGTGACCTCACCTGCACTGTGCATGCGGGGTCACACCATGCCCAGAAGTACCAGAAAGTCAGGTATTCTGGGGAGGCGGCAGTGGCCACCCTAGATTTATTTAAGCCAGTTATAGAGAGACTCCCTGGGGGGCTGCGGGGGGGATGTTATCGCTCAGTAGAATCGTCAGGAAGTTTTTCAGGGTGAGCGAACATTTGCACCCACTTTAAGGCAGGTGGTGCGAAGGGTCCTTGGCACCAGTGAGAATTCACGCGGTTGTTTTTGGAACACTCGTCCTTTCTTTGGCAGTCCCGTGCCTAACCCCCTGGGTTTGCCATTCAGTTTCATTGTCGCTGCATTTTACGTTGGAAGTGGATTGGGCGTTAAAGCAGTAAAGCATTGTACGAGAACCCAAATAGAACAGACTTAATTGCACTGCAGAGACGTGGTTGAAGCTTTCCCAAAGCGAGGGCCGCTTCTTTTTTAGCTCCTTTCATTGCACACTGTCTGGAGAAATTGATTACCTGCCGATCGGGGGCCATTGGAGGGGTGCTCATTGGGAGCCAGCCATTGAATAAAGTTTATTCAGAAGAAGATCAGAAGAAGCCTTTGGGAGCGACCTACTGACCTTTTCTTTGATCTCTGCTAGATGAGCAGGGAGCAGCAAAGCTGGAGCCAAAGTGATAACACAAAGCATGCTGGGAGTATCAGTCCAATTTTAAATGCAACCAACAGGGGGCCCTCTCCTAGCCCCTCAGCTATCAATTGCAACCAATTTCTGTCTCCATCACTAAAAAACTCAAGAGTGGCTACTGTCTGTCTGTCCCGGCACCCAGCCAGGGAAAATGACGCTGCCCCAGGTCTTCTATTTAGAAGTGCCGCTGACTTAAATCTACAAAACCTGTTTCATGTCAGTGATGTCAGCCTCATAGCAACACTACACGCCACAGACATGGGATTTTCAGGCACTTAAGAAAAGCACAACATGGGTCTTTTATTAAGGCCCCTTCACGCCTAGAGATCTCCTGTCTGTTTGCATATTTAAGGGCAAGGGGTTAAAGCAGCTGTGTGACTTTTAAAAAGAGCCTAAGTGACTGAGGCACCTAAATACCTTTGGTGATCTAGCCCCATGATCTAGTCCCATTGATTTTCAGTGACACGTAGGCTCCTAGAAGCTGGATCTTCACTGGTATTTAGGTGCCTTCATGCGCAGAGAGGTGCCTTGAGAGATCTTCAAAAGTGCTGGGCACCTACCTCCCATTTGAAAACCTCACTTGGCATCTATCTGCCCCTTGAGGTGCTTAAATAACTTTACAAATCTGGCCCCAAGTGCCTGAGACACTTAGGAGAACGTTGCCCAAGACAAAATACACAGAGCCAAGTATTGCTCTCAGACCAGTCAAGTTGCTGAATAACTGCATCGACTTCAAATTGACTCAGTATTTAGGCAATTGTCTTTGAGAGCAGAATTTGGCCCCTAGTTGTGTGATTCAAGGTGCATTACAAACCTATACTGCTCTGCAGGGATCCCTCCAACTGGCACTGAAATGCAGCCACCGTCAGGGTGTTCAGCAGCTCAGAACAGGTAAAAAACAGTTTTTCCAACTGAGGAATTGTAGGGAAGTAAAATGTTGTTAACCCTGTTGGAATTGGGTGATTAACTCCCCGTCTCATGTGATGAGGCCAGGGGATCTTTAATAACCACAAGTGCTGAGGACCTGGATTTTATGTCTCCTTTGAAAGATGGAGAAGCACCAGTGCCACCACAGGATTTGAAGACAAGGGATGAGCTTTTCAAAAACAACAAGGGGGTTTTAGACACACGACTCCCATTACAATTGCGTCTCTGAATCTACCGATCCCCCATATGCATTCATCTAATTAGAACGGAGTAGACTTACCACTGGCACCCCCTCGTGGCAGGCCTGGTGTAGCAGGCTCTCCTCATTTGGCACCACCTGCTCTGGGCCCGCGGCGGTCTGCCTCGTCTTGTGACTCGGCCCCAGGCCAGGTCACATTCAGTCTCGCCCTTCCAGGGGAACAGAGAAGCCAATAAACGAACCGCAAACAAACGGAACTCTTCCCGCCAGACCCGGGCTCACTCCTCCATGGATTCTTCACCCCTTCCTGGGCTCTGCAGGGTCATCCTCCCGTCCCAGGGCTTTTTCCCTGGAGGCCCAGCTCCAAACTCAACAATCCCTCTTCGCCGTGTGTCAGGGGGTTTCTGCACCACCTTTCCCGGTGGCTGGGAGGGGAGCCCGGACAGGGCCCCTGTGGTGAGCAGCGAAGGTCTCCTATTAGCAAGTGGGCCATGGGCAGTCAGGCCTAGTGATCAGAGCAGGAGCTGGGGAGCGAATCCGATCCCAGGGCGAGGGCAAGGAAGCATTAGTCAGCCCAGGAGTCAGAGCCACGCTGAGGGTCAGAACCAGAGTCCGACCCCAGGAAGCCGGCCCCAGGAACAAGCTGAGGGTGGCACGGACAGAGCAGGAGCCAGGCGGGGGAAACAAGGCTGGAGCAGGGCGGGAATAGGGCTGGAGCAGCAGCCGGCCCAGGGAGGATGGCAGCTGCAGGCAGCAACACAGTAAACAGCCAGAGAGCGGCTGCTGGGCTAAAAGCCAGCCAGCTGCCCTTCCTGACCATTCAGTCAATCAGGGAGCCTGCTGCAGGCCAGCTGCGCTGGTTGGGTTGCCAGGAGATGGACTCTGCTGCAGGCCCTGAGCCCCTCACTGCCTCCCTGGGCTCCTTCCTACCTTGGCCCTTTCCCCGAGTCCCTCTTGGGCTTCCCGTTCACCTGCCTTTCTCTAGGCCTTTCTTCCACACCCTAGCACCCAGGGCAGGAGTGCAGAGTCCGTCCCCCACTCTCCCTACAGCCCCCTCCTCAGCTGGGCTTCATCTTCAGCTGGGCCGGGCCCACCCTCCAGGTGCGTTCATTGCCCAGTCTCCAGTTAACTCTTTCATTACCACGGGGGGAGGAGGGGTGAACCTACTCCATCACAGTAAGATACATACTGGGTCCCCTATCCTCATAGGATCTGAGCACATATTCTAAGATCGAAGGGCTCTGTCGGATAAAACCCCACCATCTCCTTTATTCGGCACGAGGCTCCAGCTACTCACAGAGAAAACCCAACCGTGCCCTGTTGGTTAGCTTATATGTTGTAGGACACAAAATAAGCGGCTCACCGGGACTCTGGATGGCTGAAGTTTTGGTGCTGGGCAAATGTGGTTTTTTTCCTTCAATCTCGTGATTTTTAAGACCATCTCCTGAGTTTGGGGGGGGGGGGGGGGCGTGACTCGTGATTTTATTTTTCTGGGCGTGGGGCTGGCCTACATCATAGTCTCTCCCCTGTCCTTTGAGAATGGTCCTCTGAGACCAGAGTTATGGCAGGGGGAGGGAAAGCTGGCACATTTGCTGCTCAGGGATGTCCCCGTTCCATGGATGGAGGCTATCAGCCTCAGGGGCTGCCCATCTTGGCCTTTAGAACAGCAGGTGCTGCCCAGGATTCTCTGCTGTCTTGCTGTCGAAAGGGAGGCGATGTGGCTAGTGCTCTAGACTGGGACGGAGAAGACCTGGGTTTTATTCTCAGCTCTACCGCTGGCCTGCTGGGTGACCTCTGACAAGTCACTTCCCCGCTCTGTGCCTCAGTTTCCCCATCTGTGAAATGGGGATAATAACACTCACTGCTTTGAGAGCTAGAGATTATGATTATTGTCTCTTTTACCTCACTTTCATCCCGGCACCTTTCATTTGGCTTCTGTATTTAGCTACTTCCCTCTTCATAATGGGGAAGCCACTGGTAGGTCTGTGCTGAGCCCCTCAGAAACCCACTCCAGCAGGAGTCAAATAGACCAGCACCTTCCATCAGCACTGGATTCACTTTGGAAAGTAAAGGTAATCAGAATAATAAATATACAGTAACAGCTATTCAGAGCAATTTTCAACTGTAGAGCGTAACACTAAACATCAAAGCATTATTATCCCTATTTTACAGATGCGGAAACTGAGGCACGGAGAGGGCCACTGACTTGCCCAAGGTCACAGGTCAGCCCAGTGGAGTGGGAGAAGAACCCAGGTCTCCTGAGTCCTAATCTAGGGGCCTAGCCACTGGTAACTCATGCTATAATGCTCTGTGAATGCCGATTGAAAGTATATCTACGGCCCTGCTTAATTTGCAGAAATTGCAGATCCTGCAATATTAGGCTTCCACCACATCGTTTATTTTAATTAGTTTACTTTGCACAGTCCACAATTTTGCACACATTTTGAGGTTCACAACACACACTTTTTACCCCATTAGTACAGTAGTTCCCCATTTATCCGAGCTGACAGCAACTGGGGCTTGGCCTGTCAGCCTCACACATCCATGACTGAAATATAATCGCAGCAAAATGTCTGGTTATCAAAAAAATTAGCAGGCATAACTTAATACTGGAGTGTTTATATTGTTCCAAACAAACAGGTCTTCTCCGGCTTTTCCAAATTACCACAATGAATAAAGGTCCATTATTACTTTTCTGTGATTGTCCATATCTTCTTCACAACTCAACTGCAATTATTTGACAATCATCCCGTGATTCAAGCAGGGCCTTAAGTAGAGCATTATTGTTATTATTTGTTTTGTCTCACTGTATTGTAGATTGTGGTTACTGTATATGCATTGTTTCAGAGTAGCCGCCGTGTTAGTCTGTATCCGCAAAAAGAACAGGAGTACTTGTGGCACCTTAGAGACTAACACATTTATTAGAGCATAAGCTTTCGTGGACTACAGCCCACTTCTTCGGATCCGAAGAAGTGGGCTGT